TATAAAAAGTCAAGAGATGGGATGGAGCCCCTGCCTAGCAAGTGTGAGGCTCTGAGTTCAAATTCCATACCACCAAAAAAAAAAAAAAAAAAAAAAACAACAACTCAGAGATTGGCCATACCACATTGCCTCAGCAGCACAGGCTGTGGGTGAATGAAGTCTATCGGATTCTTTTGGCCTTCTTCTCTGATCATGAGATGACCATAGTAGCTCCAAGTTTGCACCTGACAAGCAAGGAAGAGTAGGGTTTCTTTTTGTGTGTTGTCCTTATCATGGCAGGAAATCGTTCCCACAAGTCCCCAAGAGACATCCTCCCAGGAGCTATTGACCAGAACTGGGTCACATACAACCCTTCTAAGAAGAGCAGTGAACTCCTGTGCCTTGCGTAGGCGTGCCTTCTCCAAGTGTGCCACAGCTCCCACCTGAACAGAATCAGAGTGTTCTGGTAGCAAGGAGGGCAGGAGATGCCTATAAGTAAGGCAGCCATCCATGTCTGCCAGAATGTCTGCCATCAAGAAAAAAACCTGTTTTAGAAGATGATACAGCGCCAGGCGTGGGGCACACCTCTAATCTCAACTCTCAGGAGGCAGAGGCAAGAGGATCTCAACACCAGTCTGGGCTATGTGCAGTAACCCTGTCTCAAAAAAAAATTTTTTTTGAAGCAAAGCAAGGTGACTTTATGCCTGCAGTCCTAACTACTTGGGAGGAAAGATTGGGAGAATGGAGGGTCAAGGTCATCCCAGGCAAAAGGTGTGAAATGCTATCTGAAAAACCACGAAAGCAAAAAAAGGCTGGTGGCGTGGCTCAAACAGTAGAGCACCTGCATAGCAAGCACGAGGCCCTGAGTTCAAACCCCAGTACAGCCATAAAAAAAGAAGGTGCTATTCTGCCCATCCAAACTGAACAACAAAGCCAGAGTTCTTTGTGGTAGGAGATGGCTATTTTTTTTTTTTGTGGCACTGGGGTTTGAACCCACAGCCTCATGCTTGCTAGGCAGGTGCTCTTACTGTTTGAGCCACTCAACTTGCCCTTTTTTGTGCTGGGGTTTTTCCAGGTAGGATCTCACAAAGTATTTTTCCAGGGCTAGCTTTGAACCTCGATCCTCCTGATGTCTGCCTTCTGAGTAGCTAGGATTATAGGCATGAGCCACCAGTACCCTGAAAGGAACAGTTTTTAACACTCCATTTAGTACTTCTGCCTTGAACTTGTGTACACACACATAGGAAGGATGAAAGTCACTGAAGTTGCCCCAGTAATAAACACATCCCCAAGTAAAAAGAGATACTTGTGTTTTTTTATTTTAAAAAGTAGGCAGTTGCTCAGTGCTGGTGGCTTATGCCTGTAATCCTTCCTACTCAGGAGACAGAGATCAGGAGGATCAAGGTTCGAAGCCAGCCCTGGGCAAACAGTTTGCAAGACCCCATTTTGAAAATACCCAACCCAGAAAAGGACTGGAGGAGAGGATCAAGTGTTAGAGTGCCTGCCTAGCAAGCATAAGGCTATGAATTCAAGCCCAGAACCACCAAAAAAAATAAAAAAGCCAGTTGCTTATTTTTGTTAATTAGATAGATAATACTAGAATTGATACTATATACTTTGTTGTTTTGGGTTTTTTTGTCTGTGTAGCTAGGCTACCTCAGAACTTGAGATCTTTCTGCCTCAGCCTTGTAGTACTGGATTAGAGGTATATACAATCACACTTAACTGGTACCGTATACTTTTCAAGGAAGTACTTCTCTCCCCCATTTTGTTAAATAATGAAGGGCAGTAGATTATGTTCTTTTGAACTTTCAATACTAGCTTTTAAAGAAAGACTCCTTGTTTGGATTAGGGCTTTTGACATCAACATGGAATTTGTAACTGCTTCCCTACGATTTGAGAAAACAAGTCCATGCCAGTACCCTGACTGGACCAAACTTGTTCTCTGAATCAAATCTTAGATCCCCAAGTGTTGATCCAGATATATGTCAGATGTGACCCTGACACCTATCCTGACCTGAATACAGGAGTCATGTGAGAGATAAAAATAACCTGCTCTCAGATTGCTGGTAGCAGCATTTGAGACAGAGAGGGGACAGGAGAGCTGGACTCTGGATCTAGGAGAGTTATGAAAAAAGTAAGCTAGTTTAAATGGACACTGTCTTAGAGGACCTCACCTATGAGGAATCTTCTTTATCAGAAATGTGACTAGACTGAAGTCTTATCTTTTTTTTTTTTTTGGTTTGAACTCAGGGCCTCATGCTTGCTGGGCAGGTGCTCTCTCACTTGAGCTATGCCATCCCCTTCTTTTTGCTTTTTACTTTATTATTCAGATAAGGTCTCATGCTTTTGCCTAGGCCAGCCTCCTACTTCCACGTCCCAAGTAGCTAGGATTATAGGTGTGTACCACTATTCCTGTCCTTTTCTCTGCTTTTTATTATAGGATCACTTTATTTTTTTTATTTTTTTTTTCATTTTTCTTTTATTATTCATATGTGCATACAAGGATTGGTTCATTTCTCCCCACTGCCCCCACCCCCTCCCTTACCACCCACTCCGCCCCCTCCCTCTCCCCCCCCTCAATACCCAGCAGAAACTATTTTGCCCTTATTTCTAATTTTGTTGTAGAGAGAGTATCAGCAATAATAGGAAGGAACAAGGGTCTTTGCTGGTTGAGATAAGGATAGCTATACAGGGCTATAGGATCACTTTAAATAGATTTCTGTCAAATAGATACCCTAAGTATGAGTCTAAAATATGGCAAAAAGGCTAATGAAATTATTATTAGCTGGTTTAGTGATGTATGTCTACAATCCCAGCACTTAGAAGGTTGAAGCAGGAGAGAACCAAATACATATAGTGAAATCCTGTCTCAAAACAAACAAAAACATCTGTTAATTGGTTTTTACAAGTTGAAGATTAAAGTGAAAATAAATGCATTGAAATTTTGGTGCACAGATGACATTATTTGATTTACATTAGATTTTACAAGAACACATCTATTTCATACTAAAAGGTGCTTTTATTTTCTTCCAACTGCTGCTGCTTTTTTTTTTTTTTTTTGGTGGGACTGGGGTTTGAAGTCACTCCAACTGTTTCTGATGCAGAGTGACTCATATGTTGGTGTTGAGTGCAGAAAGTACTATTATTAAACAAAAGTTTTAAATATATTGAGTTGTCGTAGTAGTAAGTTGATTTGTGCCCTTAAGATTTGGAGATTGTTTTCTAAACTTTTGATTTCTTTAAGAAAAGTACAAATTAGTTGGACTGTATCTACTAAAGAGAACACTCCCTTTTCAAAAGCCTTTAAATCAGCTTCTTTTCACTCTGTTACTAAACATCTCTTGAGAATTTTAGAGTACTAGCCAGGCCCCAGTGGCTTACACCTGTAATCCTAGCTGTTTGAGGGGCTGAAATTGGGGAGACTTTGGTTCAAGGCCAGCCCAGGCAAACAGTTCAAGAGACCCATCTCTAAAATAACCAAAGCAAAATGGACTGGAGATGTGACTCAAGTGGTCAAGTGGTAGAGTTGCCTGCTTTGTAAGCATGAAGCCCTGAGTGCAAACCCCAGACCCACCAAAAACAAAAAAAAAGAATTTTAGAGTACTCATTTAAAATTATTTGTTCTATACAAACGTATTGAGTACCTACTGTGTTTAGAAAGTATTTTTAGATTATTTTTTGATTTGTTATGCATAACAGAGCAATAATAATGGAGAATGAGTTTTGTTTGGCATTACCCAGGCACTTCCAGGGGCTCTTCTTTTCCTCACCTCTCACCCCTTCTGCTCCAGCAAATACAGGGAAAGTACAAAAAACAAATGCTAAAAAGACATAACCGGTCCAAAAGGAAGGTGGATATGTCTGTGAATTAGAAACAGCAGAATTGCAGGACAGCAAAGGAAAGCCACGGCGTGTCTAGCCTTTAGTGGCTTGTGCTGAACCACTTGGAGTGAGGAGACTCCCACGTGCCTCTCCTAAGAGGGTAGGGAAGGAACAGATACCAGGAGCTGAGGCGTTTAGAAGGACCTGGGCCTTGAAGGGAAGGGGACACAGCTGCAGTTCTCACACAGAGAGCAGCCCGTGCCACCCTCATGCTGTGGTTCCACTGAAGTGCGTCCAGATCACCTTGGGTACGCGGCCACCACCTCAAGGCCTGTCTGGAGAAAGCAGCCTCAATCAGAAGTATGAATCCATGAGTTTACCCCAAATGAAAGGAGTCTTATAGAATGGCTTGACGAAGAACTTAAATACTTTCAAGACATTAAAAAAGTAAATGAAGAACTAGCTTCTGTTTTAAAGAACAAAAAACTGTGAAAACAAAAGCATACATAGTAGATACAGATAGAAATGAAAAATATTCTGGATACACTTAAAAAGAAAATTATGGATTGGAATAGACTGAAAAGTTCATAAATACTGCATTAGAAAGACACAAGTCTAAAAAAATTTCAAATGGCCAATGGAAGATAGATCTGACCAGCCTCTGGAGTTGCCCCTTCCCCTGTCACTCTGCATTTCTGTCATGACACCCATCACCAGGAGCATTACCATCTTTATGTTTTGACATAACTTTCCTCTTGTATACAGGCAGCCAAGACCAAGTCAGCTGAAGGATCCTGCATCTTTGTGTGCATTGCTATACCTCTGGCATCTACACTGTTTTCTGGCCCAAATTAGGAGTTCAACATGTATTTGTTGCATGAATGAGTAAAGTAATTACTGCTTCAAAATATTTTGAACATGGCTTCGTTGACCCTGATTGGCTCTGTTTGGCCAGCTTTTCAGTGGAGAGAGACACCAGTAGAGATGAGAACTGTTCTCCCCAGAATGTTCCCTGCTGTGACCAGTCTGAATATGAATTGCAGAAAAGCTTAATGTGATCCCCCACAGACCTGGGGTCCACCTATGCTGCACCCTCTTGTGTTTTATATCTGTTTTACAAGCTGCTGAAGAAGACTCAAAATGAGACCAGCAACATAACAAAGCCAGTGTGGTAATTGTTCTTTTTCCTTTTTCAGGCTGGAGTAAAAGGAACGTTGGGAAGATTAGTTGGAATTTTTGAGGTAAGTATGTTAATACCTTTGGTACAAATAGAATATTAACCAAATAGGACCAAATTGTTCTAATCTAGGAAAGAAGCCATCTGTGTTTCTCTGAATTGTCAAAGCAAAGCAGCATAGCAGAGAATAATATTCTTTCTTTTTAAATACCGTATTTTCTTCTTTCATACAACTAGAATTTTTTTAATAGTAGGAAAAGGGGAGGTGTGTGATACCTAGCCTGTTTTGTGATGGAGTCACTACAGCACGAGGCTCCTGTGGTGTTGCCACCTGTCCACAGTCTCTTCTCTGTCTGCTGTTGTGTCTGGTTAAATTTACACAGTCTTTTGCTTGAGAGGTCATAGCATTCCTATGAAGTTGCTTTAAAACCCCAGCCGAAAAGTACACCCTCAAACTCAGAGGAAGCCTGTTTTAAAAAGGCCACAATTACAGCATGGTAAAAAGTAAAGAGAGTCTTTATGCCTAAATTCTCTCCACATGTACCTAAGTGTGTGTTTCTTAAGTAATCCCTACTCACCAAGGAAAAACTCTCCCTCTGTCCTTCTGTTTGCCCTTCAGAACCAGGAGAGGAAGCACAGGACATATGTCTATGTGCTCATTGTCACGGAGGTGCTGGAAGACTGGGAAGACTCAGTTAACATTGGTAAGTCATTGCCAGACAGCCTTGAAGAATTCCCCACATCCTGCCATGCCATACCACAGCACATTACCCAGAACCAGAAAGACCTGTTAAAAAGGAGAAATAATAGAAGAGCATGTTTGACAGCACAAGCACGTATGCTTTGAATTTGAGAAAGTGTATTAAAATGTCTAAAAGGAAGCTGAAGTTTGGTATAGGGTCAGCAAGTGGAAACCTGGCCCATTGTTTCTAAGATCAAATTGGATCCTCCTCAGAAGGGTTATGCCACTGTAGTTCCTGAGCAGATACTAATCTAGGACTTCCTCTCCACTAGGCCTACCACTGGCCATGGGGACCAAGGTGAGAGCAGGACCTTGGGCTTGTGTCTTGTGATACTCATTGAAGCTGTTGGACTGTTAGACTGGGATATAGTTCAGTGGTAGAGCACTTGTCTAGTATGCATGAGGCTCTGGGATCCATCCCCAGCAGAACCACGACCACTGCCAAAAAAAAAAAAAATTAGCCAATTCTGGTGGTAGATGCCTATGACCCCAGCACTCAGAAGGTGGAGGCAGGAGGACAATAAGTTCAAGGCCAGCCTAAAAACAACATTGTTGGGGAGAGCTGTTGGTTTGGCAATGTGAGCCCAGCTCTGAGTCATCGTGTAGATGCAGAGGAAGGAGGGGGGAGGGTAAGTTTCACACTGCCCTTCAGGTGCCCCCAGCTTCCTCCCGAGAAGCCATTCTCTCCATTCTTCTTTGAACTCGCAGACCACTACCCGCTAACTGTGTGTGTCTTTTGAACTATCAACTGAGGTGGGTTAATGGTTAGATTATGATTTAGTCTTTTACCTCTAAAAGAAAGTAAATTCTGGAAAGCATAATATTAACTTGTTATAAATTGATAGATGGATAAAACTCACTTGCTAAGACCCTTCCTTTTATTGCTGGTATGTTTCTGGTCCCTGTGCCCCCCTCACACTGTTAATCTGAGCAGTTCTGGTGTAATGCAGGATCCTTATGTAAATAAGTACTGTGCGGAAATACTGAAAGCAGACTCCTTGACATTGGTGCCAATGCTAAAAAAAAAAGGATAAATGAGGTATGGACTTGTCCTCAGCACTCTGTCAGGCAGGAGTCACACAGTTGTGATAGTAATTTTAAAGGTACAATTGCTCTGTTAATACCCAAACTAGCCTTTTACTCCTGCTTCTGAGAATTAACCCTAAGGAAATAATCTAAAATGTGACAAATAAGCTTGTGAGCCTTCCCCTGGGTGATCTTCCTTGAATCACTTTTTTTTTTTTTGTGATACTTTGGGATGAACTCCGGGGCCTGTGCATGCTAGGCAGGTGCTCTACCACCAAGCTACATCTGCAATCCTTGGTTTTCTTTTTTTTTATGTCACTGGGGTTTGAACTCAGGACTTCATGCTTGCTAGGCAGGCACTCTTACCTCTTAAGCTATCTGGCTTAAGATGGCCTTGAACTTGCTATCTAGTCCAGGCTGGTCTCAAACTCTGGGATTACAGGCATGACCACCACACCTGACTCATACTACTCTTACTAGTGAAAAATTGGGTCTTGAATTTACAATTCAGTTAACAGAAGTGTGTTCATCTGATAGAATGTTAGTGTTAAACACCACAGTCATAAATCATAGTGATATACCATAGGAAAGTGCTTATGAAATAGTGTTGGAGAAGAAAAAAATCAAGACAGAGTTACATGTATATATGCACTAATTAGAGCCACATTAAAATAGGAAGTAGAAGGTATAGTAGTACGCATCTGCAATCCCAGATACTCGGGAGGCAAAGGCAGGAGGATCACAAGTTCAAAGCCAGCCTGAGCAACTTAATACTGGGGCCTCATGTTTGCTAGGCAGGTGCTCTACCACTTGAGCCACTCACCAGCTCAAAGGTAACTTTCCAACTGGAGTTGCCAGGGATTGAACTCAGAGCCTTGTGCATGCCTAAGCATGCACTCTACTACTGAGCTACAACCCCACTTCCGTCTCAAAATTTAAAAGGAAAAGGGGGGAGGGGAGGGAATATAATAGGAGGGGGTGAAAAAAATGAAAGCGATGTAGCTCAGTAGTACAGCACTTACCTAGCATGTGCAAGGCCCTGAGTTTGATCCTAGCACCACCAAAAAAAAGAAAAAATAGGAAGTAGAAATGAAAATTAAAACAAGGTGTCAGTTTTCACATAAATAATTGGCAATTAGCTGGGCGTCAGTGGCTCTCACACCTATAATCCTCAGGAGGATTTCGGTTCCAAGCTAGCCCAGGCAAATAGTTCACAAAAAACCCATTACAAAAAAAAGGGCTGGCGGAGTGGATTAAGGTGAAAGCCCTGAGTTCAAACCCATGTACCACAAATAAAAAAAATTGGCAATGAAAAAGAAAGGTTGAGGTTAAGGGATATAGCTCAGTGGTAGAGTGCTTGCCTAGTGAGCACAAGGCCCTGGGTTCCATCCTTGGCACTGCCAATAAACCAGGTAATTGTTGACAGGGTTGTGCTGAACCTGACATTTCAACACATGTAGGCAGGAGTAGGGATTGGAAAGCAGTTTGATGTATGTGTCATGAGTCCTTGAAAGTTCAGATGCTTTATTGTAGTAGCCCTTACGCTAGCAATCTTCCCCTGGGAAGTTAAAAAAGAAAGAGATAAAGATCTTTTTTTTAATGGGGTGGGGATGTAGCTCTCTGGTAAAGTTTTTGCCTAACATGCCTGAGGTCCTGGGTTCCATCTCAGGCACCACAAAAAACAAATTAAAAAAAAAAAAAATCCTAGTTTCTTGACCTCCATTTGCAGTCTGTTGAAAGTGTACTCCTTTCCTAATAAACTTTGCTATCATTTTCACTGTAAAAGAAAACCCTAGCATTACTTACAACAATTAAAATTGAAGCATTGATCTCCAAAGATGGGAAATGTTAAGTGACTTAACAGTACATCCATGGTAGAGGTAATACACAGTGCAGTGTCATTTTTTTTATATCACAGAAGATTGCTTAAGAAACTGATTAGAAGCCAGCCATCATAGTAATTCTGGCAATTGATACTCTTGTTCATTTTTTCAGGGGGTGAAGATGCTATGCAAGGTGCAAGCGAAAGGGAGCCCAGAGGCTGGGAGCACAGAGGAAAGCACTAGCTATGGTTGCCTCTGGAGGGCGCTGCAGTATACCTAGTCTCAGAGTTTTCTGCCTTAGACATTCAGAGTACCCAAGAGTGCTCATGTTACTTTTGTAATAAAAGAAAGTAAGGGAGAATTTTATAAAATATACGGAGTGGTGGCATGGCTCAAATAGTAGAGTGCCTGCCTAGCAAGCATGGGGACCTAATCCCCAGTACTACACCCCCATATTATAAAATATATTTTTTGAAAGTGTTGAGAAGCATTGCTTTAATGTTTCCTTCTACATTTTTTTCGAAATGCCTAGGCTCAGAAATGTCCTCATTGCTTCCAACTTGTACTAATTTCTTGCCTCTTTGCTTCCACAGGAAGGAAGAGGGAATGGTTTAAAATAGAAGATGCCGTAAAAGTGCTGCAATATCACAAACCTGTGCAGGCGTCATACTTTGATACACTGAGGCAAGGCTACTCCGCCAACAACGGCACCCCAGTCGTGGCCACCACGTACTCGGTTTCTTCTCAGACCTCGATGTCAGGCATCAGATGACTGAAGACTTCCTGTAAGAGATGGAAATGGGAAACTAGACTGAAGTGCTGATCCTCCCCCTCACCCTGGCTCTTTCCACCTCTCCTCACAGACCTCCTCTTTGAATAAGGCATGATGGGCAGAGAAAGGGCGTATTGATAATGTTGCTGTTTGGTGTTAAGTCATGGGGTTTTTTCTTCTCTTTATATTCAGGGGTGGGGCGGGTATGTAATTTGTAAGTACTTTTGTGCATGAACTGTCCCTTCCTTTTCTCACCCTTCTAACCCTCTGAAGAGAGGCAAACAGCTTTCCCCACCTTTCATTCTAAAGTGTTCCTGTTTGTCTCATCCCAGACCTGGCCAGACATTTTCTCTGATTTTTAATTTTTTTAATTAAAAGATACCAATGTGAGATGAAACTTTTTAAGAATTTGTCCTATAGTGCTGTTCAGTCCAGTAGATTGGTCACTTTCACTGCAAGATACATTTATCTACACATTATATACTGGAAATATAATATGTAAATAAATGACTTTTAGAAAGAGGAATTTAACTGTTTAATTTTTCAAGGTTTTGGGGGGTTTTATTCTGGATATTTCTGGTATAGAGACCCTCACACTTAATTTCCATTTTTGTTTCTGATGCTACTGCTTAGACAAGTTCCCCTGTCCTCTGTCCATCCCCTGGCCATGGTCTGTAGTTAGATAGGCACAGGAAGAGTTTAGCTCCCAGGGCTCGTGACCTTCTCATTGCTAAGCTGTGTTTCCCTGCCAAGAAAGAAACAGGAAGAAGCCTATTTTCTGTTCTAATACCAAGCCAGGAGCAATGGCCTCTGCCTAGACCTGGAAAACAGTGATAGAAACTGATTTCTGCCCTCATGTTCACACTAGGGTTTGTACTGGATACTTGGGATTACTATCTCAAAAACTGGATCCTCAAGCGCTGTTTCTGTCCTGCTGGCTCAGAATTGTTTCCATAATGCTGACTATTGCCAACAGCACCATCTCTTCTTATTCCTGTATGCCTTCCACCATGCTGACCTGGATAGTGCCCTGTACTCTGAAGCATCCACTGCACTTTGCAGGCTTAGGCCTGTACAGTCCTGTCCCCATGCTGGGGGACCATATGGAAAGGGTGCCTGTCTTACTAGTGTTGCAGCACTTGTGACTGCACCATGAAGCATGCTCAGAAATGTGAACTTGTTTTCCACCAGAATGTGAAAGGTCATCTTTTGGAGGCCGCACAGTCATTTCCTAGAATGGCTATGTAATGCTTTGGCCCACCGCAGACTGTCTTGTTGGTTTTTTGCTGGCCTCATTTGCCAGTTGTGTTGCTTAGTTGGGAAGGAAGGAAGTCTTGAGACTGGGGAAGGGTGAGGGTTGGGCAGGTGGATACTGATGAACCCCTGGCTTAGCACAGGAGATTGTTACTCTTCTCTTAGTGGCATCTTCTTTGTCAAAATATAGCCAAGATGTGAAGTTAAAAATCATAAGTTCTCTTTATTTAAAAAATTCTAATAAATACTCAAACTTTGAAAAGCTTTTGCTCTTCCTCCCTCTAAAAGAAATGTATGTATCTGGGAGACCTGAGTCATTTAGTATTAAGCATTTTGGGGGCATCTATTGGTAAACTTTAAATTTTGCTGTCTGTGTTTGGTTTGCATTCTCTCTCCCAGCTTTTGAAGCCCACAGCCAAAGAACAGTGTGGCAGTTTTCCTAGGATGCTACTTTACCTCTGGGAAAGGAATTATTTCTGAAGTAGGGTCCCAGTGGATAAAAGCAGCACTGTGGGATTTGATTCCAAATGCCAAATGTCCTGCTTAAAAACAAACACATTGCTTCTTGTTTCCTGACTTACAGAATTCTAAAGTTCTGTCCAAATAAATAAAGAGGAAAATAAATAAATTCGACTAAGTACTAAGTAGAATCCAAAAGACACATTCTTCCAGATAAATTCTAGCCTTATGCTGTGGATTAAGTGTGCTTTGCAAGAAAACTGTCAGTTCTTCTGAAGGAGAAGCTGCATTGCTAGTGACCTGGGCATTTTTCAGTGATCTGAAGATGTTTTGACCAGGCTGGTGTTACAGTATACCACCCCCAAAAGTCCAGTTTTGATTGCTGTTGGAGTCTTTGAGTCAAGAAAGTGAACTGTGCCAAGAAATCCTTTTCAGTGACATGAATGAGGCCTGTTAGTGCAGTGAGCTGGAGAGATTGTGCTGATGCTTTCTTAACCAACAAAAGAAGGCTTTGTCCAACACTGGGATTGTTGAATCTGGTGCTGTTCTCTGCTGTGCTGGGATTCTGATGAGTAGGGTTGGTGTTTTTCCTTCCTGGCACCATAAACACGATAGCTGTTGTGAGTGATGTGTATAGTAGGAGTCCTTTTGTGATTGATTTGTTAGGCCCATGGTTTGCAGCAACCTTTAACTTCCCAAAGAAAGTACAAAAACTACCCTACATGAAGAATATTTCATTAACTTTGACTTGCCACTAATTCTTTCATGCTTGACTCTTCATGCTTGATGGAAGCAGGTTCCTATGCTTAGTCTCTGGCTCACAGTAAGTTTTCGTTGTCCTAGATTCTGGGTGTTACTGAAAAACATCCATTAGAGTCTACCATACTCAGGATAGAAAAAAGATAGCAATGGATTTTTTTTTCATTCTTTTTTTAGCAATGGATATTTTAAATTAAAATTTTTTTGAGCTATAGTACCTGTAATACTGAGACTTGCGAGGTTGAGGCAGGAGTTGGAGGCCAGCCCAGGCTATATAGCAAAAGACCCTGTCTCAAAAAAAATTTTTTTGTTTTGTTTTGTTTATAAATCGCAGCCATTGGGAGAAACACTAGTGACCAGTGAGCACTAGTGACCAGTGAGGTAATGTAATGTTTTTGGACCAGGACTTAATGTGTGTGTGTGTGTGTGTGTGTGTGTGTGTGTGTGCGCGCGCGCGCGTGTGTGCGTGCGCGTGCGTGTAGAGGGAGAGAGGGAGGGGGGCAATCCTCACGTGGTAGAGTGCTTGCCTAGTAGGTGCAACTACTTGACTTTAATCCTTTAATACCACTCAAAAAAAGGGAGTGGGGGGGCGGAGTACTACTGGACTCAATTATATTAGATTTTCTGTAGCCTTCTACAAACATTGTAGCCCATGAAACAGAAGTCTTGCTTTTTGTAACAAACATAATGGTGGGACAGTTAGTGAACTGTTTTGTTTTCACAAGTATGCTCTGCCCCATCTGCTTTGCATGGAGAAGGCCCTGCCTGTACTGAGCCATCTGGCCAGATCTTAGGGTATGGCAGTGTCACCCCTCTGAGGCCACCAAAGGCTTAGAGGCTGACACTGCAGATTTCTGCCTTGTGCTGCACAGTCCTGTAGAATAGGGGGGCACTTGAGGCCTTGTTTTCCACAGCCTCTGGGGAGCAGAGTGGGTCACGACATGGGGAATATTTTGCAGTAGTTTTGTAAATACAGTGGAGTCTCTTGGTGGCAAAGTATTTTCTGTTTTGATGTTAGGCTTGCTTAGAAGAAAAAGGTAGCCCTTTGTGGTTTTTAAAAAGAAGGAAAAAGTTCTATGTGGAATGACCCCTCCTCTTCCTCCTTTTCACACACAGCACTCATTGGAGGCTCCTTGTATATCTCCTTAACAGATGAAATCAGGCTTTTGTCAGACCTGGGTATGTGTTTTGCACCCTTCTCATTTCCACGCAGTGCTGTGTTAATGCCTTTGTTGGAACTTCCATCTTCATCTTTTTTAAAAAATAAAAATAAAAACAGCTTAGCCTGAGCCACATTCCCTCTCTTAGTTCACAGAAAGGATTGAGTGAGTGACCACATTCTAAAGTCCATCCTAGTTGAAATTAGATTTAGAATTAGAGACAATACCTGGAGAAATGATTTTTGGTTTAAGAGAAAAATGGGAGTTGGCTGTAATTGAAAATTCATCTGTCTCATCTTCATTTCAGGAAATAATCCCCATCTTTACAGAAGTAGGAGCTGTGCAGGACAGTTACCTCAAGCAGCACGGGGAGGGATATTTAGTAGTGATTAAGTAATGCAAATGGCTCTTACAGTTCTTAATTCTAAGGACTCTAAGTTGCCATCCTGTTGCCCAGGTATCGTAAAGGACAGCTCGGTTGTTCCTGTAGCTGTGTGTTAGTGGCTCGGCCTTGCCTCCATCCAGGCCTCCACATCATTTGGAGTGGCTGGGAGAGCACCTCAGAGGTCAACTTTTGAGCTCTCAGATAAGCTTTATGATGGAGACTTCACTATCAGGAGGGCAGTTTCCCGTGACTCTTTAGGTGCCACCTGAAGCAGTGAGATGTTTGACATGTTAGGCTAACAATTGTAAACTGGATTTGACTGACTGCAGTCCATGTCACAACAGCTTCTAGGAGCTCAGGGGTTTCCAACAGACTCTGCTTTGGAGGCCAGCAGCCTTCTACCTCTGCAGCTAACAAGGCAGTTGTACATTGTAGCCATGTCTTTGCCTTACTCCCAGAAACTTGTCTTGAGCTGATAACCCTGCAGGGATGTGAGACATCTGATCAGCATCTGAGAAAGTGATACCTTTCACCTTCAGAGTAATCAAATAGCTTGTCTCCTCAGTCTTCTTAAAAATTAATACATAAAAAGAGAGAATCTCACTTTGGGTTGTTTGGGCCAAATAACCTTGAGCTGAGGCCAACAGTCACATGATCTTGGCTGTCTCTCCCCTGCAGCTTTGTTTACAGTGAAGACTTGGTGAGCTTGAGCTTTTCTTAGAAAATGGGACTGTCCCCCTGGGGAGGAGTACGCTAAGGGAAGCACATTAACTCAGACCAGAAGGGGCTTTGCTGAAGAGGAAAATGCTTTAGCCATAAAAAGTAAGATTGGTGCTAGAAGGTAAACAGAGTCATTGCTTATGTTTTTCTAACTGGCAGTTGTTTACCACTCCAGGTTTTCTGTGGTTTATGTTGCTAGTTTTGAACCCCAAGACTTACTTGACTTCTTACCAGGCAACAACCAGAAAAGGCATTTAAAACCCTGAATATTGGCTTTCAAGAATATGAAGACAACAGCATTGTCATTTTTCCAGGTTATCCCCATTTGGTGGGCCACCCATCCTTCACCTCCCCACACTAAGCCAACGTAGGCCAGATGAAGAACCTAGTAATCCCTGAGGACATATATTTGAGTATGGAATAATTCTCTACTAAATTGCTTGTTATCTGCAGGAGGACCATTCATAGAACATCTTCCCAGTCCAGTCCAGTAGCTCTTCCAGGCCTGAGAAGTGTCCCAACCAGACATTTTGATCAAAATCTTTTAACTCCTTAGGGAAAAAAGCTCCTAATTCTAGGGCTTAAGAGTCCCCCGTCTGTGGTATGGGGAAATCATTTTGCCAGTGAGATTGCCTGAAAATCCCTTCAGGAAATAATTCTGATTTGAGCCTGTCTTCCTGGCACTTTTGTGCCACATTGAAATTGAAAGTGTTAACCTACAGCAGCAACGTACCTCTTTCACCTCTTTATTGTCCCGCTGAGAAAAGGCTTTCCAGTGATAAACCTTGGTCTTTAACCTCCCTTTGTTATGGGGGAAATGTGCCACTAATACATGATCCAAAAGACTATCTGCTTTACTCAGTCTTTGCAGCTTAACAGACGTGACTGCCAGGGAAGGTGGAGGCTGATTGTGGAGACGCAGGAACAGGAACTCCTGGAGTTACTGCTCTACACAGCCTTCCCAGGAGCAGGTCTGAGGCTAGGGTTGGCAGAGCTGCAGAGTGCTGAACTATAGGAGAAACTAGGAGGCCTTTCTCAGAGCAAGATACTTGTGTCCTCCCAAGAATGGGAAGACTGTCAGATGGGAATGACAGACATCTAAACTATAGCTTGCAGACAGAAGCCTCTTCTCTTGTGGCTGTGAGCCTTTTTGCTCATAATTTTCCAAGGAAACTCTCCCTTCAAAAATCTAACTTGCTAAGCCAGGCATAGTGGGACATGCCTATAATCCCAGGACTTGGGAGGCTGAGGTAAGAGGACTGTGAGTAGCCAACCTGAGTTACATAGCAAGACTCTATCTCAAAACAAAAAAAACACTTGCTGTCAGCATTTGGTTTAGCCTCTGAGAGACAGCTTTGCTCTTCATCTGTGCAGACATACCTGTGTTGTTCAGGGTGCAGTACTTGAGGAGCTCGGACCCAGCAGCATAGTATGGCATTAGCTGTTAGAAAGCAGTGTCCATTTAATTGTAAAAGAGTGGTTTCTACTCTTACTTCCATTTTCAACCTGGTTAATAATATAAAAAAAAGTTTGGTGGTTAGAATAAGTAATATTTTAATTAGTCCATCGATCTTAAGAAAAATGGCTACCAGTTGGCCATGTGTTTAAGGAAGTCAGAAACATTGAGAATGTTGGGAGCTGTTGTAAAATGAAAGTGAAGCAAGTGTCTTACCTACTCAGGTGTCTCAGAGAGAGGAAGTTAAGCCAGGTAGGAACATCTTCATATTTGCTTTTGCCAGCCTAGCTTTACTTTAAGGACCCCACTTCCATCCTGTCCAGGACTTCAGTAAGGGATGGGCTCTGAAGGGGTGGTAGGACCCTCAGCTACAGAGTAAGGCTTCCCCAGAGCTGTAGGCTCTTAAAAGGGGTTTTGTCAACAGGATCTCCTCTGCTCCACCCAACCACCATCAGTATCAGAAAGCTTAACATACCTGGGACCATTCCAGTTTTCAGAGATTAACTAGATGTGCTCTCACCTCTTGCAGGTATACCATTTAGACACAGTCTCATTGTCTAGGGAACCTTCCGGCAAAGTAGCCAAAATGTGTTGAGTTTAACTCTTTCCAAAAGACAGAAGTCTTTCTTGTCCCTTCCCCTTAGAACTCAGACATTTTAGCTGAGACTTATATGGCCAAGTCCAGTGATGTCCCCCGAACTGAGTCAGAGACCTGGGGCCCATATATTCTAATTGTAGCAAGGGTACAAAATGGAACAAGCAACAGAATGGATCACCTTTGAAGAAGGTGCCAAGAATAACCCCAGTGGGCTCAGCAGAACTGGGGAAATCTAAGAAATGGCACTTGGAGGAAAGGGAAGGTTGGTGTGGTCCTTAAACCTCTTGGCACTCCATGCAGGGCCATGAAGTGGACCATGCCATGTCATCAGTCCAGATGTGCTCCAGGGTTATCTGCTCCTCAGCCTGCGGGTTTCCATTTTTTTGTTTTGTTCCCCAGACAACCTTGCTTGGCACTGCGTGGAAAGTCAAGCATTTCTTCTTGCTTGCTCAGGCCATCAGCCCTGGCCAGGCCAGGGTCTTCACAGAGTCCTAAGGAAACTTTGGCAGTGCTCTTATGTGCTACAGTAAGTGGATTTTGATCCAGAGAAGGAGGAAAGAAAGTTTTCCGTTTCCTTTTCTTGAAGCAAGGTTTCTTGGGTTTCCTTCACTCTTTCCCCGGGTGCAGCCAGAGGTACATTCAGATTGGAGGAGGGGTGAAAAAAAGGGGCCCCCAGCCAGGCAAGATGCGGGCTGAGACAGGGACACAGCAGATGCCATTCCACCTCTCCCTTTACAGCAGGCCAGCCCTATGTAGCCCTTCCCCTAGGTCTTACACTAACACAGCCCCTCATGTGGTGCCAGCAACAGGGGACAGACCCTTCCTCTGTAGTCTAGAGAGCTTTGGTACTACCCTAAAATTGTACCACTTCCATATCCAACTCCTTTTTGTAAAAATAAATGCTTAAACCTGTGAGGTGAGTGTGCTGTCCCTTTCTGTGTGTTAATCAGTTTCCTTCCATTTGAGCTGTGTGGGAGGGAAGGGCATTGTAATCTTGTGCCAGCCAATAAAAACCAGTATTTCACACACATCCCTGATAGTGTCTGGTTTCTTCTTTCCAGAGGGTTCCCTGGATCCTTCAAATCAATCTTCTGTTTTCACTCCCACCTCTCTACTGGGTTCTTAGGAATGGTTCTAGAGGTTCCAGGGTGGCCCCATGGAAGCTGTGCCATTCAAAGAAATGAAATAAGGAACACAGTGGAAAAGGCAGTGGCAGTTTGAACGTGCGTTTTGTTTCCTCTGACCTGCTCTACTGCAAGGTGCCTGGGGAGAGCAGTGGGTGGGCTGCCAATACCCCATGCTTAGGTGAGGACCTGCTCTCTCCCCTATGCCAGGGCAGTCTGTGGGAGCCCAGAGACGGGAAGGAGAATGAGGTGAGTCACGTCCAGAACAGAGAAGCATAACAAGAAATCGCTTTCTTTTACGTGGGGTGGAGTTGGGAAGACAAGAGCCACTTTTTGAAGGTGTGTAGGGGTGGACTTGTAAGCAGAAGACAACAGGCAGGTGTTGGGGCAGTGAGGAAGAGCATTAAGTGAGTTGTGTTCCCCTGGTCCCAAAATGGGAAGAAGAAAATATTTAGCTGTAATGAAAGATAATGTGATGAGGGCAAATTGTGGAAAACCACAAAAACCGGGCAGAGGATTTTGACTTTGCACACGTGGTATGTTCTTGAACAGGGCAGTCATATGATGGGTGGCAGCCTGCTCCTCTGACAAGTGGCCAGGAGAGTTTGGAGAGGAGCCATCTGGAAGCCATGCGATGCCTCCCATATATGAGGCCGTGTGGACTCGAGCCTGGAGATGGAGATCAAATGAAAGCAAGAGTCAACAGTGGGTCCCAGCCAGGTAAACCTGTCCTTCCACCAACACAGGTTGTATTCTCATGACAGGACTCTGGTGGCATCACCCTGGCCAGGTTTCATAAGCCAAGAAATCTGAGGTGATTTGTGGAAGAGGACTACTTCCCAGTAAGAGTCACAGTGACCTCACACACAATGCCCAGCTGATAGCTGGCACATTTATGATGACCAGTTCCATCCCCTGGGGATCACTCTTTCTCTTTTTTTTTTTTTTTTTGTTTCCCCTGAGATGGTCTCACTGTGTAGCTCAGGCTGGCCTCCAACTCTTGATCCTCCTGCTTCAGCCTCTGAGTGCTGGGATTGTCAGCTGTAGGATCATGCCTGGCTCCTCTCCTCTTAGCAGTGTTCTTAATTTTGTCAGAGTCAGTGCACATGATAAGGGTGAACTCATAGATGCTGATACAGGTGTTACACAGGAAACCATTACTGACCACCTCTAATGGGTACTGGGGCGTTGTGAAAACTCCCACTAACCTGTTTTAGGTCACTCGACCAGTCTACAGGTGGCTCATGACCACTACATTTACCATGTCAGTTCTTTGTGTCATTCTCGGGGTAAATGCAAACTGGTCTCCAGTAGTCTCAGGACTTGGGGCAAGACAAGAAAGAAATCTAAGGGATCCCCAAAAGCTTGGGCATAGGTCATGAGAGGAAATCGGCCCAAAAGACACAGTGCAGCTCCTAACTGTGGGGACAAGCAATGCACTTCTGCCACCCTTTGCTGACATGCTGGATGCTGGCTGTGACCATCCACCCCTTCCAGTTGGCAATATTCCTGCTCATCCTTAGGCTGGCTTTCATCCCCAAAGATCTGATAATTGTGCCCAAAACAGCTTGGTGTTTATAAACCATGGCCTGGATGGTTTTCTGGTTTCAGGCAGATTGAGGGTATGAAGGGTTTATTTTCTCCTTGGTCTTATGACACCCAGCTAACATCTCAACATCGGAGGACACAGCAGTGAGGCTCTATGTTCTGTGTCCTGAATACCAGCGATGTGCTAAATCCAGGACACATAGTCCTCACACAGGCACCTGCTTGGGTGGCAGATGACATGAAATAGGATAGGTGACAGCCTGGAGAGATTAAGGCACAGGAGGCAGGGTAGGAGGAGCAGTGTGGGAGAGAACCAAGGAGGGTGGGATGGAGGGAAGGGACTCAAAAGGGAAGAAAGACAGTCATTCATCAAAAGGCTGCCTGGTGGCAATGCTGGAGTCACACGGGTACAGGTGGCAACTTAGCTGTTGAAGGCTCCGTAATCTTGGACAAGTTACCATCCCTGATACTGTGTTAAATAAGTGAAGAATACGTGGTACCAAAGTTGGGGAGTGATGGTTAAACGGTGGCACCTGTTTGGCCAATGCCAAGGACTGCCAAAGCTCACTAAATAATACAAACAATACCACAACAGACAAAAGCAATAACAATATAAGGGATAAATGCAATGAAAGAAGTCTGAGGGGTGAAGAACTCCATCCCAAAGGAGGAGGTGTCAAATGAGAGGACTTAACGAGGGATGAGGGAGTTCCCTGCCTGAAGGGACACCTTGTAGGACGGCAGGGTACTGTGCTTGGTGGCAGTGAGTTTGCCAGGTCTGGAACATGATGGCAATAGAGGGTAAGGAGGAGGGAGAGGCAGGAAGTGCCATGGGAAAGGTAAGCCCAGGTCAGGTGGCTTGGCAGGCGCCATTTGAACTTTACTCTGCATGTCTTGGAAGCCAGCAAAGGCTTTAAAACAGCAAGGACTGTCACCGTGGCATTGGGGAAGATGAATGCTGCTACCTACTGAGTGCTCAGGCCTTGGTGCCAGCACCATGTTCACTGCTTTACCCTTAATCATTGCAGTACTAAAATGCACAGGACAGAGGAAAGGAAATGGAGGCTTAGGGAAGTCATCCACATTAAAGGAACTGACAAACCTCATTCTAAATATCATAGGGCAAAGAACTGAGGATGTTCAAGATAATTCGAGAAAACGGCTAGGAAGTCACACAGGACTACAAGAGAAGCCCTGTGACCGAATCAGCATCAAAACAATAGAAGGCTTGTGATATATATCAGTGGTAGAGCACTTGCCCAGCATGTGTGAGGCCCTGGGTTCCATGTGATAAATGCAATAGTTAGGTAGAAATAAATTAGGAAATAGAATGGAGCAGGAGACCAAGAAACAGGCCCCTGTGTTTGTGGGAATATGGTCAGAGCCAGAGGAAGCATGCCTGTGAGTAGGGAAAGTATGCACTCTGTAGTAGTGTTTGGACAGTGGACTAGGCAAATGGAAAAAAATAAAATCAGATCCCTACCTCACACCATCCATGAAAATAAATTCATAAATGTGAGAAGTGAGCTATCAAACTTTTAGAAAAAAGTAGAGGGGTAACTAACACATCCAAGGTAACAACTGCAATCAAATCTGATGGGTTTTATGTCAGAACCTGCCCTCTCACCCAGTTGGCAATGCTCCTAGACTGTCGGATGGGCCAGGGCAAGCACAAACTGATGGTAGGGGCATGGTGAGTGAGCACTGCATTTGTATCTGGTCCCCAAATGCATCCCTGAAGGGCTACTAGGGAGGTAGAGGGAGGGACTTCCTGCATCACCATTAGTCAGTCAACAGGCTTAGCACTAAATCAGCCTTTTGTTATTGTAACCAACACCTGAGATAAGCAACTTATAAGGGGAAAGTTTTATTTTAGCTCAGTTTTGAAGCTGAGCCCATGATCAGTTGGTCTCATTGTTTTTAGGCCTGTGGTGAGGGAGCACACCATAGCCAAAGCACATTTTGGGGCAAAACTGCTCATCTCATGATCAAGGAGCGAAAGAGAGAAAGAGGAAAGGACTGGGGTCTCACAATGCACTTTGAAGGCACATCCCCATTAACCTAAAGTAAATCTCCTACTAGGCCCCACCTCATAAGGGCTCCACCACATCCCAATAATGGCAAGTTGGGGACCAAGCCTTTAACACATGGGGCCTTGGGGGACATTCCAGATCCAAACTGAGCAGGCACTAATGATGTACCTCAACACTGGCAGGTGTCCGTGTGAGAGATGCCATTGGGAACCTAATAAACGTCTATTGAGGGTGAAAGGGTGGTCACTTCACAGGTAAATGTGAGGACACTACAAAGAAGCCAACGGCAGTGAATCCTTCCATGGTAGAGCCAGGAGGATTTCAGGAATTGTCTAGTCCAGTCCTCTAATTTACAACTCTGGAAATAGGCCCAGGGACTTTTCACCAGAATTCTCCTTTGGAAGCTTAAGTAAAGAATACGAATCACTGGTCTTGCAGCTCACTGGTAGCTCACTGCTCTCTCTTCATAGGTATGAAAATCTTCTTAAATGGCTATCATAACTCTAGCCAATGAACTATCCAATCAGTGCCAGGCCCAGGCCCTGTGTCCATCATTCATTAATGAATT